TCCATCTGTTCAATACATATATATGCAGGGGCTCAACCACGTTACACACATACACACACAGCATCTGCCTGACAAAAGACAAAGGCGGGTTAAGGTGCACTTTTTCCGTCTGGACCTGCGTTTGTCTACAAGAGCAGGAAAACAACCGAGCCACAAATCAAGTGTGATGATGAAAGAAACAATGTGACCAGATGACTGTAGGTATTAGTACAGAGAGCAGTTCACCAGGTCCAGGTTGCATACACAAGACCAATGCTCAGTCCTGGACATGACCCTTCTGGACATCAATACAGCCAATGTTTTCGCGTGGTTGCGGAAAATTGGAAATGTGAGGAAAGGTAGTTCCTTCAAGGATCAGAGGCGGTAACTTGTCACCATAGTAAAACAAATAGATCTGATGTGATGTGGTGTTGATGTATGGTGATCAAATGTAAATAAATCAGCAGCTTCTAAAGCTACAGTGACATGAAGCATCAATTCAAAGGGATTTCGGTAGGGGAAGGTCTGTGCCGCTCTCGGTCTTCATTTCACAGAAGTGATTTAACAGCCCTCTTGTTTTTCTGCTGACGTCATGTCTGGGGAAAATCAAGGCCAATAGGAGAAAAAGAAGAGACAAAACAAAGTCAAAGAAGTTTGAAGTAAAGCAAGGAACTCTGGAAACAGGAAGTGCACAGGCAGATATAGAGGGATATGTACATGATCATCCTGGTGAGTTAATAATCCGGCAGTGGAATTTACATGTCACAGAGTGTCGAGGACTAACTGCAGTGACAGACTTGCATCGACACTAACTGACGGATCGGTTTCAAACGTGAGCACAGCGTGTAAGCATACGCCATGTTGATGAAACAAATGTAGGCAACGTGGTATCAAAACAAAATTTTACATTAGAAACATCAACATATGTGATTTGACAAACGCTAGGTTGACGTCTAGCCTGTAAGCAGATGGTGCACTACATATGGTGTCCATCTATTACACTGTCACCTGCTGTGCTTTTGTCTCTTTTCACTCAAATGAGAAAACGACACAAAGGGTTTTTTTTTTCTTCTTCTTCAAATTAAAAAAAGAACTCAGAACGGACAAAAGATTAACTAAACTAAAACTAAAGTATGTCTTCACTGACATTATTAATTACCTGAGAAGTAACCTCAGTTTTTCAATAACTCTCTCTGAAGGAATTTTTTCTTGTAACATGACAACCCATCACAGTTTTAAGTGCAAGGAGTTCAGAGAATTCTGTCATAGTTGGAAAAAAGAAAAGAAAAAGAAAAAAAGGAATTCACTAAATTGAAATCAATTTTTATACAGCCTCGTTTAGAGTTAATGCAGTTTATTACACATGATAATTGCCGAGCTTCACTAAAGACATCTCAGGTAATTGTGCCTTAAAACTGAACCATTTTCCTCACTTATGAATCTGTTCCTCCCCTTCTTTTTCTCACTAATAAGTCAAGGCATTGTGCTTACACACGCACACACACACCTTCTCAACACTCCCTTGGCTGTTTCTGCCTGATAGCCTTAGAGGCTCCTGTCCTGTGTCAAACAAGCAAAAAAAAAAAAAAAAAAAGTGGTTCTGTGACTTCCCTCAACATATACAGGTACGTGAACATGTCGGCCAAAACTGTGATGAGAGCTAGAAAATAATTAGATTGAAAGTCAAGATAGAGCCTCGAAACATGTTTTCAGAAGGACACAGTCTAAAAATCTGAGGTTGCTTTATAGATTCAATAAGTCTCCTACACCTGTGTGGCTAACCACCATCGATCCATCATTCTGTGGAACGCAATCCAATTTAAAGTGTGGAGGAGTCCCATAGCCCGTGAGCCCCTTAGGCTTATCCTAACCCAGACCACAAAGCCCACAAAGCCTGCTAACTGCATTCCCACAAGTCTATCAGTGTCTATTAGTCTATTGCACTTTTAGTGTACATGTAGACTGAGGGTTGGGGTTGATTAGGGGGTCATATGGAATTCAAACAGCTAGACAGAGCATGTAAAATACCTGGAGAAGAGTCGACGTGATGCTCTGTGCTGTTTGCTCTTACAAAGCAGTAATCGTTTTGATGACAATGCAAGGAAACCACAATCAAAGTCGTTCTCGGTTTCATCAAAGTCTGGCGATGCACAGCATTTTTAAATCAGTATCTGATTAGATTTACCAAACACGTGACTGGAGTACTTGAGTGTAAAACGCCTGATGATACAGTACATGTTCTGGGAGGCCATTCAAGAATTTGTCCTTTACTGCTAATTACAGTATCATCTGGTGCAGATGTTTTCTTTTTTTAATTCTCTTTACTAATCCATTGAAGTGAATCAACACCCGTGAGATCAATTATTAAAAAGTATTTAGGATCTAGGAGGAGGTGGTGTGACAGTCTAAAGCAGCTGGTGTTTCTGACTTCTTTTTTTTCATCGCGGCTCTGCCAAAGACTGAAAACAACCGGTAGGTTTCTATGACTCCAGCGGTTAAACCCAGGACAATTACGGATCAAGGATTCTCGTGAGGGAAGGAGGGAAATGTGAGGTAAAGCAGAAGAGGTGGAGAGAATACACACCAATAAAAGGCAATTATGTTTGGGGGAGGGCAATTGTCAGTCCATGAGAATATAGGAGAAGACAGCAGGGATATGGGATGGTAGGGAAATGAGGAGGAGTGTTATTCAGAGGCAGATGGCAGAGAGGGGAAATTAAGATGAATGGGCACTAAGAGGGCTGAGCTGGTGCTGGGGCTGGGCAGAAAAAAAACGTAATTAGCTGTGTTTGCTTTGGGAGGCTGGCAGTGAGTATGATGCCTGCAGTGACCAGCCAAAACCTTCAGCTTTAGGAGGGGATGAAACCTTGCCCTAGAGCTGTCAATGAGGAAGATTGGTCCAGCAACCTCACGGACTTGATTTACAGTATTTCATGGAAATAAGGCGGCACTGTGAATAGGCCGCACCGTCAAGATCAATAGATGCACTTAATATAACACAAAAAATCTATCTATCTATCTATCTATCTATCTATCTATCTATCTATCTATCTATCTATCTATATACATATAACTATATACATATTTCATTTTGACTAATCTAAATGATGCAATTATTATTACGTAAAAAAGTCAACAAAATATGCAAAAGTACATCTATTTATATATATCTGCTACAAGGACATGGATGATGTTTTCTAAGTGAGTTATCGCGTTGGATGTATTACCAGCCATACAGATGATTTTGACGTAACAAACATGCCTAGCAAACATTTCCTTCCTCCACTACAACTGCAGTTTACTGGAAAACCCTATTGTTCCTGAACAGGAGTCCTGAAATAGATCATTTCCAATCACCATACGAGGCCCGTCTGTGTTAAATGCTAATTAAAGTAAAATAGCTGGAAGCAAATGAATGAACTGGAGCGAGCAGCGATTGGATACTGTCACAACTGCGCTCTGGAGAGGTTAGACTTTGAGCCTTTGAGTGCGTACTAAACATTTGTTCAGTACGTGTGTTGATGTCCTGTACAGAATGGTTAAATAGTAATTCAAGTTAATGCACATTTACATCTCCCTAAATTTACACTGGCAAAAAGACAAAAATAAAAAAATGTAAAATGATAGTTATGCCTATATTTCACAACAAGTTTTGAATTTTCACATATGGACAGACATAACAGCATTCAGATCTTTTTTTTTTTTTACTGTCCAAGAAGTTTCCATATTTTTTTTTCCTGTTTGCTTCCTGCTTTATCTTTCATCTTCATCACATTTCTTCACAATTCCTCTGTTACGACCACCTCTATCTGTCTCTTTCCTCCCACCCTCCATATTTCCCTCTCCCTCGTCCCTTTCCAATCTAATTTCAGATAAGTCAGAGCAGAACAACAGAGCAGAGCCCTTTGTCACTGCCATCGATGATGTGGGTGGACCGAGTGTGAATAATTTCACTCATGTGTGCCTGAGCCCAGCCCACTGAGATTCCAATTACGAGTAATGAGAGGTAATACAGATGCAGCGTAATTTCACAAGTGCCTCGCTGGTGACGGCAGAACACATTTGACAGGGAAAAAAAGAAGGAGTTGTTTGTGCTAGCCAGAGCCAGAGCTAAAGGTTTAACAAGGAATAATAGAAGACAATTTCATTAGTAATGGTTACACATCACATCCAAACCTGACCCTCAGGAAGTCATGCATACTTTTGGCCCTAGCACAGGAACGCAGAACAGGTAGATCGTGATCTAATAATTACAAACGCTGTGCTGGTAGATCATGAGAAATTAAAAAAAAAAAAAAAAAATAAAAGTCAATATAAATATAATTCTATGGTGTGAAGTGTCCATATAGTGTAAGAATTAAATCATATGGTGTCATACAGCTATGTATATTTAATCAGCACCCCAACATATAATGTATTTATGGACAATGTTTAGTTTATATGAGTAAATATATATTTAAATTTTTTCTTCAATGTTACCGTTTCAAAAGGTAGATACTGTACCTTTAGCCATGTTGCTAATGACAGCTCACTATGTCACTTTAAACCAAAGGTATCAAATGAGCAAAAGGCCACTGCTGCCATAATTACTTCATCATCATCAACGACTGAAATTACATTCATAAAAATTACTTCAATGGATGCAGGTCAGATGGGCTTAAAGTTGCCCCTGGGAGTTTGACAACATTGTGTAAAACCATTGCAGCAGATGTTGTTTTTTCAAAGGTCCAAACTATGCTCCTGTCTCAGTGTCTATCTATAACTCTGACAAGAGCAGAACCTCTCATTTGTTCGAAATATTCAGTAGGTCAGCTTGGTCAACAGAAGCCGAAAAGGACAACTGAAGATGTCAAAGAAGACGCAACACACAAAACACAGGGAACGCCAGAAGGAATTAACAACACATGCAAAAGATGCAAGAGATTTTTTTTTCTTTTAGGGATTTTTGCAGAAATCTAGTTTTAAGCAGAAAAAGCAAGCATTACAAAAACATGCTTGAGGCTTGAGCTTTGTGACTTTACCATAGTTAACAGGCCTGAGCACCTGACGGAAGGAGCCGGGGCTGATGATCTGCAGTTTTTCTGTAAAAGGTCAGTGCAATAATATTGCTAACATGTACACAACTGAGAGGGAACTTTACAACCATTCAACAGCTTGTGAGGCTCGTGAATAAGAAAAACACTGCCAAGGCACAGCTGTCAGATCACACTAAAATGTATGCACAGTGGATTCGATATAATTACTGATCCCATGTTGGATTCACAGCATGTGTTTGTCGTATCTTTCACCATTTGTGAGTAAAAACGAGGGAAAAAAAAACAAACTTAAAAACATCTTGCTTTTCACTGAGACTTAATTATCATGCATCTGTAGTAGTGCTGTCAGGCTGAAGAGTCTCTGGCAGAGAACTATGTATGTGTACAAACAACATCCTTCTCTTAAAGCTGACTTGAAATAAAGCTGTTAGACGCAAGGTTTATGAAAACAAGAATCAATGTTTTTGCCCGTAAACATGACTAATACTCATAAACTTGGCAGGTACATGTAAGGACCAGGATTACTAATGAAAGTCTGCATTGTATTGTAATAGTTCTTCCAGACAATGTGTTTAATAGTTGTTTTTTTTTCTTTTTTCTATGCTGTTTAGTTGTAGATAAACATGAGACTTACCTCTGGGTCTGGGTGCTCTCTTCCTGCGGTCTCGGAATGCAGCTCCTGACTGTAGGGCTTCCAGTAAACTATCCATCACACCTGTCTCATCATTCTCTGAAAACACCAGGAAGAAAAAGTAAAGAAGTGAGTCAAAAAAAAAAAAAAAAACGAAAACAAAACACAGAATAAGCATCAAAAATGTACAAAAAAATGTTTCCTAGTAGTTTCATGTAGTTTCATGGCTATTACACATTTCCAACTAGTATCTTTCTTCTGTCTTTTGATTCTTGCCTGCAACATGAAATAGATCTTTTTCACCATTGCTATAGTATGTAGCGGTGTTTCCCAAACTTTAGTATTAACATTAGACTTCTGTTATTTTGCCTGTTCCCTGCCAAGAAGATGGGTTCTAATCCTAGGGTCACATGCAGAGATCAACAAATATCCACACTCACTGGACACCCAGAGATAATATACACTATCCAAAGAGCATGACAACAAATGTGCAGGTTTTTATGATGAGTGGGAGTGTATACACCTAGATTTGTAATTGTTTATTTGTTACTACTCACTTTACTTCATAATATTTTTGACGTACAGCAGATTGAGCTGTTTGAATATTCCGAACTGAATACCAAGGAGATGTCGGTGTCTGAAGCATCAGCACTGACAGTTGCCTAACAGCACTTCTTGTCTATTTGGCATGAGACCTTTTCAGGAGTCGTTATTAGAACAGCCACAGTCAAAGTGTGACACAGGTGCCGTGATATATTATTTCATTTTGGGTCATTATTGCACATCTACGCCTATACTTGCTCTCTGTTTAACAATGGGAGGAGCTCTGCACCGACAAACATGTGAACACCAGCATATAGCCAGACAGAGAGAGAATAGAATGACATGTCTTGTCAACCCAAGCTGCCTGAAATGCCAAGTAAAAATAGCTGTTTTTTTTTAAGCGCACCATAAGTGATTCTGGCAAGGCAAACGTTAGTCCTGCTACTAGTAGCTCTGCCGCTGCTGGTTTAAACACAGAGCAGAGCAGTAGCCCACCTGCTGGATAGATAGATTTAGATAAAGATAGATAAATATAAATATAACATTAAGTCAATAGATGAATAGCTACAGTACATAAATAATGAATGGGGAATTATTTCAGTTTTCCCGAGTGTTCTTTTTTTTTTTTTTGTAATACTAACTAGTAATCTGATTTCTGTTCTATTGAAAAAAATGTCCAAAAAAAAAAAAGAAAAATATTGAAATGCTGTGACAATGTCTAAATCCTACACCTGCTACTTCTACATTTTTTACTACAGTTGTACTAAACGTTTGAGTCATAGAAAAAGAAGTTGCTGTTCAGGATTGATTTAAAGCTAGCACCATTAGATATTAGCAATAGTAAAGATAATTCTCTGTGGATCTGTTTTTACAACTTCTAGACCAGTGTCAACATATGACACAGGTTTTTGATAAAGTTTCAACAACAGCGACCAAGAGTTTTATCCCTCTAAGACTGGGATTCTTCATTTACGGATATTCGTGCTGGTGGAAAAACAAAGGGAATTACCTGTTCTGTGTTTACAATTAAAGATTCTAAAAAAGCCAAGTCAAAACTTAATGGTTAATTCAATAATATTATCAATGACACTAACCAAAGTTCATGTTCCAAGTAGTGTTGTAGAGAATGAGGATACAACTGGTAATTCAATCATACATGATTTATTAACTATACGACACGCAACATTAGCAACAACCAATTTAATTCGCTAATGGTCTTGTTATTCTCTTAATTTAATACATGGGCTGCTGTTTAACGGAGGCCACAAAGGTACTATAAACACAAAGACGTATTGAGAAGATGAAGTAAAGCAGTTGAAAAGAATCAGTCAACATTACTTTTGTCTGGATTGCGAGTATTTACACCGACGGACATTTATTGCTATTTCGTAATCATGAACAGTTTACACCGACGGACATTTATTGCTATTTCATAATCATGAACAGTTTGTTCAAGTCTCTTTGTTGAGAGCAATAAGACTTTAAAAAAAAAGTTTTTATAGAAAGTAGTAATTTGGAGCCAAGTTTCTCGCTATCTCCTTTAATACCTGCATTTATTTTATTTTTCAGCAGTTGCACTTCTTTTTTATTTCTCCAATATTTGCATATTTCTTCCTAATCACAGTGAATGGAAAACAAACAAATATCAGAGCAAAACAAATGTTTCACAATATCCAGAACTGTCTCTGATATTTACAGTAATCCATCACATTCAGCAGGCCAGAACAGAGAAAAGAAGGAAAAAGGGAGCAGATCACTCTACGGCAAGCTGCACTGTGCCCTTCCAAGCGTAAGACTTTGTTTGACTCCAACCCACAAGAACAGTAAACCATTCTCTTCGCCTCAGGAGGCAAAGAGAAAAAAAAAAAAAATAAAACCAACTCAGATCTTTTTGCCACAGGAATAATTTGGAGCAAAAACAGCTCAATTTCAGACATCAATCAGATGCAACTCAGGCGGAGGAAAAAAAAAAAAAAGGAAGAATGTGGATGCTTCAAATTGGCGGTTAAAATAATACCACATAGTGGTATACTATAAATAGACTGTGTTCCCAAATGATGAGTAATATTAGACAATGAAGCAGCTGTGAAACAGGTTTGAAACAGACATTAACGTAGGTGTCAGTAAGCTTGGTTGACTAAAAGACAACCAAGACGAGTCAGAGGAAATGAGACAATCAAGAGTGGTCTGTTTCCCGCCTTTTACCACTACTATGCAACTGTAAATAGTGCAATAACTCCCCTGAATATGTGCTATTTACTCAAAAGAAAAGAAGGTAAATGAGTCTGGCTCACTTTCTACAAACATGATCCATCTTCCGTCCACGCTGTTGACAATGAGCCCTAATGTAATGTCCTGGTCCATGAATTAAGTGAATGTAGTGTGTAACATATCATGTGCTTTGTAAATACAAAAAAGTAGATAAAATAATATTAGAGAGCAAAAAACATGAAAATATTTGGATCTTAGGATAGAGTACTGAATTTGAGCCCTAAAATATTTAAAATAATATAACATGTATATACATATACGGTATATACATACAATACATATTAAATAATGCTAAATGCTTTGCATAATTTAGTACCATGAAGAAGTTTAAGGAAGATACACGCTGTACTATATTCTTTATATACAGTATATGTACATGGGTGGACCAGTGGAAAAGTCTGCAAAAAAGTAAACGTTTAGAGTCACTTACATAATATTATGTAACTGTGACACTAAAATGTTCATCTAAATGTCTTGTGAAAATTCACCTGATTTTATTATACTGTATTTCAACTTGTTTGTTGCGAGAAAAAAAATAAAAATAAAATTAACATTATCGTCACAGATGATCTAAAACGTAGTTGTTTTAAAGAGACTGTACTGTAGATACAAACTCAGGATGTGGAAAATAAAGCGAGTAAAACATCGCCTCCAGGTAACGGCTGCAGTTAGTAGGACTTCAGTTTTAACAAGAGCCTGTTCTAAATGGTGCATTCAGAGGTCAGGACATTCAGGCTGTCTGTGTCACAATGTCAACCCCTTATTTAACCGTGAACTAGTGTCTCCTGCCACTTCACTCAACAGCATGTGGCACTTACTATCAAAAAAAAAAAAAAAACCTGGTTGTAGCACTGCATAGCAGAAGAGGGCCACAGTGGAGTGGGGAATAGCTTTAATTTGAACGGAACAGAAAAAAAATAACAGAGAAAATGGAGTGAAACGTCCATTAAATGTAGACCCACCACTGTGGTTCATGTAGACATTCAGGGTGGAATGAGGTTACTTGGTATTCTTTTTCTTCGTTTAATCTCTACATTACCTTCTGGCAGCTTTTTGAATACTAGCATTGACACAAATGTCTTTGACTTTTTTTTTTTTCAATTACATCAAGGGACATCAAGTCCCAGGTCTGATAAAGGGGTTTCGTGGGCCAGAAGGGGCCTCTAAATCAGAAGTTTAACATCCCGCCGTTACATTATTGATTTTTTACAAACATCAACGCATCTCAGTGGCAAATTTGATCCTAGAAAGAAAAAAAAACCTCATTCTATTTTAAACTGAAGATCTATTGTTAAAGGGCTTAGACTACTGTCACTATGAATAATTGAAAGGACATATGATCTAACGCAGACTGGAGTTGTCCTGCTGGATGTGAACCACAAACAATATATAAAAACTGGACAGAGCTTCCTCTGCCACAGTGTGTGGTTACAAAGAAAGAGTGCAAGGGGTTTGATGTTGTTGAATAGGACTCAAAGTTTGTATTGACAACAGAAGAAGAAAAAATTGTTTTGTTTTTGTCCCTATCTCCTTCTTGTTTTTCCTCAAATGTCCCTGGATACAAATACATATATTCCAAATATTTTAATCATGTGTGATTGCAATTTAAATAACAAATGTCATATGTTAAAAGAGGAGACCTCAAACTTTCATTTGAGATCATGGCATAATCATAAAAAAAATAACAACAAACTATTTTCAGCATTTTAGCACTAAATATAATTTCAATTTTATGTCTTTTTTTCAGTGTAACTCTAACCGATAATACAATTTTATTAAAAAAAAATTCTGTTTGTTTGTTTATTTGAACACATTACTATTACTGAAAGACAACAACATGCAAGCATGTTGCAACATCTAAGAAACTGCGCATCAAAACAGAGAATATCTGATTTTGATATGTTTGAAGTGTTAAAAAAGAAAATATTTTTTCTTTTTTTCAACGGCTTTTGTGTCACAGCATGCAGGGTTTCCAGCTGTTGGACATTTTAATACTTCATTTCTAGTAGTCACATAGCAAATGTTCAGTAATGGAGGTATATATATATAATTTGTTCTCCTGCAAACCCTCCTGCTCCTGGTCTATCCTGGGATGTGATGCAACAGATTTATCATAGGCAAATCAGTCACAGCTGGAGGAAACGGGGAAACGTTTCTATTCAATCTATTTCAATTTCTGTAAGGCTCTATGTAAATGCAGGGAAGCTGATGCTCCTGGTCTCACAGTCTGTCAGAACTCAGCGTCGACGCCCAAACGGGGCTGTCTGTCATTGTAATGTTCAGTCAAGGAAAGTAAAGGAAACGGGAAAAACTGAGGAGGCAGCACACATAGAACACTGTGAAATACATAGGAATATAAATAAACCTAGGCCAGGTAACTTTAATCTGGTGCAGGGTGTGAAACTTGTTTTCCTTCCAGGAAACCCCTCCCTCTGTCTCTCATTGCTGTGCCCTTCAGCATAATGTGGATGTGCAGCCTCTCTGGGGCTTTTTAGGGAATTGATGGATAATCAGATGATTACACAGAAAATCTCCACTGAGGACAATCCTCCCTGACAAACAAAAAGGAAGCTCTTTAGTTAATAAACAGGCTGAGACAGAGAGAGAGAGAGGCACACATACACAGAGGGAGGCAGAAAAACCGCCAGGAAGTTAATCCTGTGTGTGGATTGCAGCAGCATGTATAACATCTATTGCATATTAATTCTTTCCAAACAGCGTGTGTTTGTGTTGGGATGTGTAGCATATTGCAAGGAAGCTCACTTTACAGAGTGAAACGGCATCACTCCTTAATCTGAGCGTTGCTAAATGTATTTCAAGCTGAGGCCACATTAGTGTAAACCTTTATGACTAAATAGCTGTTTACATACACATTATCAATGAACTATTTTCCTTGAACAGAAGGTCTGAACTGGTGCAGAACAAATAAATGCTGTTGTTTTTAGATGTTCCTTATTGAATTAGGCAGTTACAGCATTTAACTGTTATGGTATATTTTTTATTTTATTTTGCAGAATTGAGAATGTCGCCTACTTTTTTTGTCCTTACTGTGGTGCTAGATATACCGTAAATGTAAAACCATTCTTTTGGTTCACATATACAGGTACAAATCTATCGAGTACTACAAACCTTTGTCAAAACAGAAAATAGAACTGTAATATTTTCATGAGAAATGCCTATCATTTACGTCTAATTTACGTCTAACAGTGATGGCACGGAAAAGGCTAATGGCATTTTTGCATTTTAGCCTTTATGCACGACTTTTACATGTCGTTCGGCTGAACTCACATGATCGCTCCATCTATCTGCTCCTAAGCCATGAACGCTCCATCTATCTGCTCCTAAGACGGCCCCACTCTCAAATGTTAGGACCCATTGTGGCCAGCAAGTCAAACAGTTTGCTCACGCCTAATCTAGCGTGTCAGTGGTATTTGTCCTGCGTTGACCTGGGACCTGCTACACTTAGGAATGAGGCCACAAAATATAAAATAAAATAGTAAGAATGTCTATATAAAATAGAGAGGGGGATACTTTATATGGGCAGTGCCTTTGGGTAACTTCTTTTGCTGAAATGGTTTAGGATTTCTGAATGAAGACACAAAAGCCTGAATCGATCATGCTTGTTTTGTTTTCTTAGGGTCTATGTTTTAGGATAGTTGGAGATGTGAAATTGCCTAAAAACATCAATGCGACAATTTCATCTTATTTTTCTTCTTGGTTTGCTCTAATGTCCTAAATAGATAAAACCTGATCAATCTTCTTCCAGACAGGTTTTGTCTTGATGAAATCTCAACCTCCCGCAAGGTGTGCTGAAAATCTGATTAATCAAAGGATTTACCGTGGACCAAAACAGTCATGGTTGTTCAGGCGTTGCAAAGAGGCAGATTTTAGGGAGTTGTTTCCCATAACATCCGGACTTGCGTACATTTTCAACACAACTTTACAAAGAACAGGCCAGCGACAAGGACACTGGTGCTCACTGACAAAAAGGGTTAGAAACAAGAAGAGTTACTTAATAAAAGAGTCACTAACCACTGACTGCTTCAAACAGAATTTTTAAGTCTGCAGAAAAAAACAGATATTTCTCATCTGACCACAAAGGAAGTTTTTGAATCACCGCTGCCTTCAACAGTGGGTGAAAGAGTGCTACTGAAATTTATTTCACTGTTCATTTACATTTACTTGGACAATACTAAATGAGGAGATGGTAAAGCCTTTGTGTCTCTATCCAGGAGCTAATAAAAAGGAAAATCCGAGCAGTGAAAGAATTAGAAAGAATTAGTTAGAAAAATTGACAAAAACTATCGGCGTTCTTTAAAAATTGATTTTTAAACTACATGTTCTGCGGTATGCTGACAAGGAAAATATTCATTAAAAATTGGTTATTGGCTAAACGTTTCTGTTGTTATCGACTCTGGACCCAGCAGATGTTCCTGTGATTAAGGAAAAAAAAAAAGAAAGAAAGAAAGAAAGAAATAAGGTTAGTTTGGGTTTTCTTCTACCTGCACTGACTTCCAGCAGTCTTTTCTTCTTTAACTGTCTTTCTTGCTTTTCTCGTTCAGCCTTCTCCTTTGCCTCCCGTGATCTCCTTTGTTTCTCCTCTGACTCCCTCTGCCTCAGGTTCTCCTTAAGTGCTTGCTGTGAGGGAGAAAAAGAATAATTAAAACATGCTGTTAAGTGGGGTTAATTAAGGTAGTGTGGAGACCGCGAAAGCAAGTGGCAGCTGTTAAACCCAGCAGCGCTTTCATCAGGTTATATTACCGATTTATTTTTGAACAGAGCAGTCTGTATAATAATCATGAACTGTGGTAATGCACTGCACACAGTCATAGACTTATCTTCTTCATAAGAAGATAAGTCTATCGTTAGTACTATTGTAAAAATATGGGACAGCAGTTGTTGGACAGTGCAAACAACTGGGCAATAAAATGTGCAATAACTCATGTTAATGTGCAATAACTAAGGATTTACCAATTCAGATTAATTGAAATACTCCAAACATGCCAGTCTTGCAACGCGATATGCTGTAGATTTTTCGCTACCACCTACTGGTCAGCCAGTGTTGTGTGTGTTTCTACTGCAGTTTCCTTAGAGCAGTTTTACTCTAAGATTTGTTCCGTCACCATAATAGCACGGTTGATAAATGCCGTATTTACTCCTCACCAAGTCACTTTGTGTCGAGACTTTTTGTTGTTTGTTTTGAGTTTGTTTTTCACAGCAGTTTTCAACCTAAATATGCAACTGATGTAAAAGCTCTGCTCACTTTCTGACCAGCAGACTGTGTTAAGGAAGAATGACGAATTGTCTTTATCTTTTTTGGAGGTCGGGACGTTAGAGCATTCATTTGATGAATTAATCACAGAAATGTCCGTTTATTACAAAATATGAAGCAATTAACTCACTTTATTTTTACACTTCATGACATGCCATGTGTAAAATAATAGTAATAATCCATACTGTGAAGAGTAAAAACAAACAAAAGTCATACTGATCACACCATTGCACCAGATGTGTTGAAAACACTTGCTGTGTGGGTAGCAGGAGCTGGTGAGCGTGATGCATAAAGAAAAGGCACTGCATTCCTTGGCCGAGTGGATGGCAAGTTTCAGTTAAAATAACTATGAAAACATAGACAAGAGCACGGTTGTGTGCAGCATAGGCAACAAAAAATTTGCATATTCTTTTGCAGAGATGACCCACACTCCATGACGGAAGAAACTGGGTCCCGGCAATACTTTTTTTTTTTTTAAATATAACTTCAGTTTTATATTAATATTGCTTAATGTGGAAAAAAAGGGTCAAAATGTTTTTTTTTTTTTTTTGGTGGAAATACAAAACAATGTTTCTTTTGTTAATGAGAAGAAATATAACACTTCCCTCCAGTTCACTAGTTGCATATTTATTGAAGGAGTACTTGGTTTAGGTGAGTATACAAATTTGCCTAATTTCAACCATTTGGTGAATAATTTCAGAATGTGCAACAACAAAGGTCAAAATTTGCAACTAACCGTGCGATTTGCAAAAACAAATTATCAAAAGTGCATTAACCAATATCATTTTTGTTTTACAAAAACTAATGTCAGAATGTGCAAAATCAACTGTTAAAATATGCAACAATTCAACTGCAGGTGATGTCAAAATGTTCAAACACATCTGAGAAACGTTACCGTTCTTAAGCATCTTGTGCACAATTTTTCTTGTTCCACTGTTTCTGTTTATTGCCACTTATCTCCTCTCTTTGTTGATGTTCACACCAATGTAAAAAAAAGTGTAGAAGATTTCTAAAAAAAAATACTTCATTCTGTTGATTTTCCTCACACTAAGAACAAAAAAAATAAATAATTGATGTTGGACAGGTGGTCTCATCACTCTGGAAAATAGGTGACAATTGCTTATTGTATAATAGTTCTGCTGAGACAGACTGGTGTTACAGAGTTTGCACCGCGCAGCTGACAGGTGGTGCAGCTGCTGCTGTGGGTGGATATTTAGGTCTCATATACGATCAGCCAAGTAAACAAACAACGAACTGAACACTGAAATGGGGAAAACAAACAAACATACAAGGAAACAAACAAACAAAAAAAAAACAACCCACTACAATTCAACTAAAGGTAAAAATGCTCAGTCTATAAAGTACTGATCTCATCTGGGTTAGCCCATGTGTTGGCTTATAGCTAAACATAGGTCAACTTTTTATAAGGCATGTGCAGTACTGTATATGTTTAAGAAGTACTGTGTATATATGTGTATATATATGGAGGAGGCACTAAACACCTCCATTAATTAATACAATTTCCATTAGAAACATTTCATTATAAACCAAACATGCAATGTTTTCACAAAATAAAGACAAAATCAATTCAACGAGGAGGCACTAAACACCGCCATTAATTAATACATTTTACCATTATAAACATTTCATTATAAATCTGTACAAGCACTAATACTGGTGGTTTGGGTCCAAATTTCTAGATCTGTTTTCCTGAAAAACTTCACAAAATAAGAAATTATTATAAATACACCTGACTTTTGTCTGAGTAAGTGTTTTTTTCTTTTCTTTTCTTTTTAAGTATGTGGAATTATAAAAGGCAGAAAAGGAGAGTAATTATTAAATAAATATGTGTGTACTTTTACACAAGTCCACACCAAGCAGCACACCACTGGGAACAGGTGAGGAAAAACATGAGCCACATGAGCAGAGGGTAATAATCATACAAACTCGAGAGTAAAAAGGTGACTTGAGCTGTGAGCATCTCAATGGGAGCTGACAGAACAACAGATTGGTGTGTTCTCTCCAATAGCACGAGCTAAGAAAATAATGTATGGAGAGTTAAGTGCTATGTGTCAATGTGATGACGTGGATCCAGCTTCAACTTAATTTTAGGATAAGTAAAAAAAAAAAAATGCATCAATTTAGGCAGGGAATGGTTTCCAAAGTTACTCGTAGCAAACTGGGTTCATTATATCTCACGCTCCTCATTCCGTCACGTCTCCTGTTCCTGCCTGTCTATTTTTATCACCTGTTTTATAAGTTACACAGTAGCACGAAGTGAGAGAGAGAGAGAGAGGGAGAAAGAGAGAGAGAGAGAGGACGTTTCATCAAACTATCAAGCTTCTCCAAATGTACACTACGAGTGTGCTGGGTGTGCTGTTACATAGCCAACAAAAAAAAAGAACTCACTTCTCTGTCAAAGTTTTGTTTTGGAAACACTACAACACAGCTGTGAGGCCATGCTCCTCACATGATCCAGACCAGAGAGGGAAGTGTTGAGCATCGCCAACAACATTACCAAAATGAGGCTGACTTCAGAGAAAGCTGATGAGTTAAGCACCTAAACCTGACGAGGCCCCAATTACCAAGTTCCCCCTTTTTCTTTGGCTACATTATTATACCTTTACGGTAAACACCACAAGAGTCTACACAGGTTTATACCAACCGGACAGTACTACCTAATGAAGCTGTTGAAAACGACTTCACGTGCTTATAACAAATGTCAGAAAAAAAGGACAGAAAAGGAGAGAAATTATTATATAAAAAAAAATAAGCCGTTCAAATGTTTTTTTTTTGAAAGAATCACATTCTTAAAAATGATCTTGAACAACTGTCTCTTGGGAGGACAACCAAGAATTTAAAATGAAAATGTATTACAAGTGAGTGCTGATTTTTTTTTAAAACAATGAGCTAAGATGATGAGTAAAAAATTTACAGTTATATTTATCAGAGTTTCCACAGACTGATGAGTGGAATTTCTAATAAAAAAAACTCCCTCGATAAAAAAGGACAAGCTACGCTACCAAAAGAATACATTAAAACAACCAGTCATGTCTGTAAGATTGGTAATGATGGCTGCTGACTTTGACCACTTCTTTTTCTCTATATTTAATTATTTATGAAAGATGGAGAATTTCTGTTTCTTCTTATAAATGAAAAAAAAAATGATGTGGATGCAGGACTGTGATAACACTGCTTAATACGGTTTTATACAAAGCTCTGCTTCATTACATTTTAGCAAGGTTGGCTGCTTTGAGAAACAGAAGAGATGAGACATTGATGGAATCATTAGTGGAGAAAATGTACAAAGTGTTGATGTTTGAATAGGTGTTTACAGCGCCTGTGGCGCGTTCATGTCAATAACTTGGAAACATTAGTTGTCTACTTAGAACACCATGGTTGCACTAAACAAGACGTGTTATAATAAGAGTTGAAGCTGGGCACTCGATGAACCAGTGCCTACCTGCTTGTCTTGCTCCTTAAGCTTAAAGAGCCCAATGTTCAACGTGTTGCCATTTTTAAAGAATTGTTCTCCTGATTTTTCGGGTATATATGTCAACTTCAAAAAGGTGTGAAACCACATCTTGTTCCTCAGCAGGGCTGACATTTTGTTTCCCTCCCTGTTAACTACAGGGGCTAAGGTTTAAAAGTCCAGGGTTCAGAATTTAATGGCATCTCATGGTGAGACTGTAGAATGTAAGAAACGATCATCCTGCCTCCCTGACACTTCCCATGGCTTTTAAATCAAGAACAGTTACCACGGAATGTATTGTAAAAATGTTCTTTCTGTTTTGTTTGCATTGTTAGATGTAACTTTAGGGTGTCAAAAAGGCAAAATACCACTACATATAAATACAAATTCATCTCATCATCACGTTGACAGAGGGCAATCTACACAGACAATAAGTATGTAACCCTCCATACATTACTTCTGTAGCTTTTGCTAATAGAGAGAACCCAGCAATCAGTTGTTCTATCAGCTTCCACTGAGATGCCCATATCTCATGTCTTGGCTTTGTGACAGCCAAGAGTGCACGGAGTTCCTGTGCTCATGTAGCTGCTCATGTTTTTTCCTTCTGAGCCCCTGTTACCAATGATGGACAGCTTGGTGCGTTCTTGTGTGAACACTCCTTCCACACAGAGTAATGTTGCCTCCCGTTTCATGAAGTGATTTTGACTGCGGTATTGGTTAAGTCGTTTATAAAATACCAGCGGAAGCCAATCGCAGGTGAAGAGTTCAGTGGCACACATGCAGAATGAAAAACACTTTCGACTTTTCATCTCCTGCCAATGGATTACGACCTGTGGCACGAACACCGACAAATCTTCTTTTTTTTTTTCTCTCTCTCTCTCTCTCTATCAATTCCCTAACTTGAAATATCATGAGTGAACAACCAGCTGCGCACTGGTCAGCAGGTGCTGTCTCCTTGTTTATTTATAAGCAAGTCAGAAGTTTGGAGGCGTTTTTATTTCAGTGATGAAGACAAGAGCAGGCGAAAAATACACTAATGTCTCATCCGTTTAATGGAACTGTGGATAGATGCACTTTTACACTGCAAGCCATCCTATTATCCAGAGAGCTGTGCCACGTACATAACACTTCCTACCACTTCAACCTAAAGAGGTGTTGGTTCGCTTTCTCACTTACACCATGACCCAGATAAAAACATCTTGTAAATGGGAGGGACTGTGAATTTTGCATTGTTTTGTCGTCATGTCAACGTGAGTTTCCAGTCTTTGAAAGTTAAATCGGAATTTTACAGCAGCCTTGGTCCCTTCTCGGGACTTTCTTTTAGGAGTCATAAACATTTTTATAGTTAATTCAGTAAATTCAGATACAACTAAATTAAACTAAAATCATGGTATAAAAATTACATTATACCGCAACATTTTTTCTCCTCCTCTTGTGCATTGTTAGTTGCAGTGGAAGCCTCTAATCCAAATCTTTATCGGTTCAGGTAATTTGATTTTGTCAAAGCCTCACTGAGTGTTTAACTTAACAACTACAGATAGAACAGGCAGTAAACAAAACAAATGGATCTGCTGACAGGCTGACACGCCACATAACTTGACTGGAACAAGGAGATCTTTCCTTCCTCCGCATTTCTGACAAAGCATTTGGAGAGTGAGAGCGAAAGCTAGAGGAAGGGAAGTAAAGGTGTGTTTGAGAGACAGAAAAAGAGAGATAGATACTGTATATAGAGAGAGAGAGGAAGAGAGAGAGAAAGAGAGCTCTCCAAGGAAATTGCCCTCCGCTCTCCTTCATCACTGCAGGTCTGTTTCTCCCTACTCCTCTCCTGGATGTCCACCATTAGACACGCTCAATTGGATTCCTGTCAGATGCACGACCTCGCCTGGGGTCTCCTTCCTATGGGTGACTGAACATGCTGTATGTGTGTGTCTGTGTGTATTAGAACGAGTATTGTCTGTGTGCATGTAGGTGAGAGAAAAAAAAAAGCACTTTATAACATAAAAAGGGCGTGTGTACACATGTGCAGGTACTTGCGCAAAAATACACAGTTCAAGCCGGGGTTGACTTCAGGCATTGGTGAAGGAACGACACACAACGATTACCGTGGGTCGTGGCACAGCCGGGTAAATGCTGACACAGGTTTAACCCAGAGGTTATGTTGCTGAGATTTAGTGTGTGCCCACATTCATTGACCCAGCCTTGGCTTTTCCCAAGACATGTCTGCATGATGTGACCATTTGACCAAATTGCTCAGGTTGTAAGCTGCTTACACCTTGACCTATCAAAAGGAAATAAATGGCTCTCTGGGGAGTTTTGACCATTTCCTGCTTGCTCTTTACTGCACTAGCGTTGTGCTGCTCTCACCTACAGTCATTAAACTGTTTGGTCAGAACACAAACACCGCAGCTGAACTCAGGACTGGACCAAATGTCAAATCCAAAGTTAAAACTAAAGCTTTGTGGGGAAAAATTGAGTTCCTTAAGTTGTGGTCATCATTGTTATTTTTTAAACAATTTATCATGACTTTTTTATTATTATTCTTCATTTTTTTTATTATTATTAGTATTGTGATGAAACCCTAGTGCCTGTTCCTGTCTGCGTTGCTTAAGCATTTTTAAAGGTCTGTCAGACTAAATGAAGATATTCAGAGCAAGGCTGCATTGTGGGAAATACTAATATGGCTAATATGTTGTAAATCCAGCTAAACTCTAGATGGATTTACAACATATTAGCCATATTAATATACATACTTTATATATGAGTTCCTTCTATCTATATATTGTATATATACATTATTTATTATAGTAATATATTCTATATATATACATTATATGTTGATTAAATAACTGTAGCAGTATGGCACAATATGATTTAATAATTGTATTGCTAATCTAGTTCTGGAGATTTAATATAAAAAAATGCTTATTTTTTATTTTGATTTTAATTGCTCGTAATCAACTGCTCTAGCACCTCTGAGCTAGAGCATGCAGAATAAAAATAATCATGAGGTCAGGAATGGTAGTTTGGCAGTAAATATCTGTTATATTATCATTGTGTGATCAGACTGTGGCTGCTTTAAACAGAGGAGTATCAATTATCATTAACCAAGTGACTCTAATAATGTACCTTTAAAACACTTTTACTAGTGTAAGTTAAATACTGTAGCTCATACAATTGCCACCTTCCCTAAAGTTTTTTTTTTTTCTGAGCATCTTCTCTACCACAATTTTCAACTGTAACTGACATGTGCTGTTATTTTATCAAACTGAGCTTGTGGACAGTGATGGGTGTTGCATTTTGCTCCACAAACAGGAAGAAAAGACACTGAGGTGCAAACCGAGGGTTTTTTTTTTTTTTTTAACTGCATGTGTTTTGAGACTCTTTTCAGTGCAACAAAGCCAAAGCCCACAGCACAGCAGCCACAGAAAAGATGTGGGTGAGGTCTTTTGTGGTCAAGGTTTTAAGAGTTTGCCTCAGGGAACCGATTATGTTTTACAATTATTTCTGTGCTGAAAATTTAAGAAGTGTTCAATTACCATATATTCCGTACTCAGTGGGGGAAATGGTATTTTAATTTTTTTAAGAAGTGTTCAATTACCATATATTCCCTACTCAGTGGGGGAAATTGCATTTTTTTTGTGTGTGTGATTAGCAGCTTTGTAGGATCTACATTGTTTGAAATAAAGTGCAGTGAAGCAAAATCTGTTCACTTGTATTTGTTCGACATGATCAAGTTAGACATGAGCCCTTACTGAATATCTACATGTTAGGATATAGGTCGAACTACTAACATGTCTATAAAGATTCTCAGTCATCCAGGTCATGGTCAAGGTTGAAGAGTTCTGGCAACTGGAAAATGTCACATCCAGTTGCCTAAATTAACATGTTGCTATGTAAAAGTATGCAATTGACAAGAACTCCTGAAGTTTGTTTAGATACAAATCTTATATCATTACATTTGCCTCCACCGTAGAAGGCTGGGAAAAGAAATGCATTTCTAAGAAATCTAAATAGAGAGAGGTGTACTCACGGTGAACATCGAACGAAAGTTGTTGAGGTCGGTGAACAGCTCCTCCACAGATGTCTTCTTGGGATCAATTGCAAAGTACTCCAACAGGTCCTGATACAGCGTTTCCATGTTACTGTGCATTACCACCAGCTTGTCGTACTGCTCCCGCGCAACTGTGCTGAAGCTGTGAAGATGTAGTCAAGGTAAAAAGCACTTCATTCAAACTCGGTGAAAACTAACTTTAGTCCTGATGTTGGTCAGTCGTTTTGTGTTTTTCAACACATTCGCACCTCACCATAAATGTATATTATATATATATATATATAATGCATGTATGTAGATGTTCCCCTAAGATATGATATTTATGGGTCTAATAACAAGATGTCAGTAAAGATAGGAATGAAATGATGCTCCTCTGACCAGTAGCCCTTGTAATGGCCATAACATCCTTGTCTCTGACCATATAAAAGCGGTGTCTATACATCTGTGTCAAAAAGGTGGGCAGACTCTTTGGCCCTGACTGAACCATGCCATTAAAGCTGAATTGATAGACCTATTTGAGGTCTGGCCTCAGTTAAATCTGGCCTGCAATGAGAGCAACTTATTCACAGCTGGGTAAATGCTGTTCAATAAGCACTGCTTCCAGATTGACTTGTCTGTAATATTGTTCCAAGCCTGGAGTTACAAAGGGAGCGTAAGAGCATGAGAGAGAGAGAGAGAGATTCTTTACTTTCTGTAAGGAAAGCAATAGTCTACTGTTGCGTATTATCAGACTTTTCTTTTTTTTTTAACATTCTTTCTTGCAGACATTCACCAGCCCTTCCCATTTGCTCATTATCCTTCTGTTTTGGCCCCTGTTCTAATTTGCTTCCTTCACTGAAGTCAGCACAGAGTCAGCAGTCTAGCACTCAACCCTTTAACTCTACACTCCACTGCTGCACAAAGTCTAACTGGAATTTTTTCAGAGTCACCAAACTGATGCAATAAGGTTCTAATATCATATAGTGACCCTATTTGTCACCACTAGTGTCAAAACCAAATATAAGAGCTTCGTTCCTGTTTTATACATTTATACGTATATATACACTTTTCAACTCTCTACTGATACTATACCTGAATTAAAACTCACTTGTATTTTATGCACTTTTTAACAATATAATAATAATAATCTTTTGACAGAATCAACGTTGGGAAGTTTTGTGTAATTATTATGACATACTTTGTATGTCAGGAATGCATGTACCTCATCTTCAAAAGTACACATTTAGAAAACATCTTCCATAATTTGCATAACACTGGTGCTATTTACAGACAGACAGACATAACAGACAGATAGATACAGTAGATATACACTTTTCAACTCTCTACTGATACTATACCTGAATTAAAACTCACTTGTATTTTATGCACTTTTTAACAATATAATAATAATAATCTTTTGACAGAATCAACGTTGGGAAGTTTTGTGTAATTATTATGACATACTTTGTATGTCAGGAATGCATGTACCTCATCTTCAAAAGTACACATTTAGAAAACATCTTCCATAATTTGCATAACACTGGTGCTATTTACAGACAGACATAAAAGACAGATAGATACAGTGGATGGATGGATGGATGGATGGATGGATGGATGGATGGATAGATGGATAGATGGATAGATGGATAGATGGATAGATGGATAGATAGATAGATAGATATTTTGTATAGATAACTTGCAGGCTACAACTTGAGAAGTACGCTTGAGCAGCAAAATGTGTTCTAAAATAGTTTTGACAGTGCTGAAGCCTAGCCCAGATGCTAAAATATTTCAGGTCTTTCTATATTTAAAAACACAGGGGGGTTAGATTAGGTTTACCCTGCAGATTATGCTGATGTGTGATCCTTCAAGTGTGACTGCGAAGAAAGACAGGAACCTGAGGTTGGAAAATAAATCCCACACCAGCCAACCTGTCAGGTCAGGTTAATTCAAAGATTTTCCTTTTTCGGTGCTAACTACAAACAGAGTCCTTCAGTGCTGCAGCCCTACGGCTACTGATCAAAAGTACATGAAGCAACCTTAGTCACACGGTGCTATAGAACACATAGCTTTCAATCCTGATCTGAGAGACAAGTGACAGCTGTCAGTTACTAAAGCTTGACATCTAATGGAAATCATGGGAGAAAAAGTACAAAAAAGAAACCCAAATTGATCAAAATTCTGTTTCTCTAAATACAACTTTCTAGAGAAAGTACTGACTTGTTGAAGTGAAGTAGGGAGGGATAGACGTAAAAAGCAACATATGGCTTGGAGAATTTATAGCTTTTGTCCATGGACATAGAAACACAGTGACAGCAGGTACTGCAGTGACGAAGCATGTTTCTGTTAGAGAGCAGCCTCATAGGCGTTTCATTCACATATAGAATGGGGAGGCCTTAAGGCATATTTTTACGATTCAGATGGCGTATACCAACTTGTACACTGGTGGCTTTAGGAGTAACGCATGATACCGAGTTAGATAATATTTAAATCAGTCAACATTCACATATGATTTGTGATTAATTGTGACTAATCGCATCTGCCATTGATCATTATTAATACTCAGTAAGGAGTTAAATTGACAGACCATTAATCAAAACTTTAAATGTTCGTCTAGATCTGACGCAATCTGCAGTGATCCACAAGGGAAAAATCAAGCACAAGTGAGTAAAAACATAAATGGTCATGTGTCACAGGAAGTCATGTGTTATGAAATGACAATCATTTAGTTAAATATGAAAGGATATAGCCATTTTAGTCAGGAACATGTCATTGGGGTCATCAAGGGAGGAGAGATTTTCCAGGTCTCTCTCCAGCTGCAGCAGCTGCTTCTCCATCTGCCTCAGGCTTTTTTCCAGATTTTCTGCCGACACTAAGATACACCCACGCACGAGAGTCACAAACACACCCCCATGAAAATGAGAAAAAATGGGGAGAGAGAGGACAACTCAATTAGAGCAACGAAAGAAAACAAAACAAAACAAAAGAATCAGGAAAATAACATCATTAAAATGGAAAAAAAACAATACAAAAACACAACAGTGAGAGAAAAGTTCAAATGGTGAACATTTATAAAAGGGTTCACACACTACTAGAAGCATCATGGGAATAAACAATGAATGGGAAAATACAGAAGAAGAGTAAAAGCACATTCAGTGTTTTTTCTCTAATAATGTTTGTTTGCTGTAAACAAATATATTCCTGTAAGAAGGCAGTGGCCTAACTGACAGACACAGGATTTAGTGTTAGTCCTTTGAGTGCCAGAAGTGCCACAAGGTTTTTCAGGACAAGGCTGGCAAAATGAAGAAAGGATGGAAGAGAATCCTCTAGTACTGGGGTCCTCAACCCCCGGTCTGAGGACTGGTGCCTGTCCGTAGGTCATTTGGGAGATAGAGATAAAAGATAATCTGGCAATGTTTCAAAACAACAGGTCATTCAGACTGATACTAACAGAATAAAGTCTGAAATATATTTTATCCGGAAAATGTATTAATCCTTCAACGATGGTGCGGTTTTTACGAGTCAACAGTAACGGCTGATACCGGTCCTGATACTGACCAGTCTTTAATATTGTAAATGTTTTTTTTTAATAAAGTGGGCCAGTGCATATATGATCAAACCTGTTGTTATTTATTTTGCAATCAACATACTCCCCGGACCGGGGGTTGGGGTCCACTGCTCTAAGCCACAGTTGCTCTAATCTGAGAGCTGAGACAGGAGAAGAACACGGAGAGTAAATTACTGTTTCTGCTGGTTATGGCTGTCAGTTGAAGTCACTCACTGAATAAAGCATGGTCTAAATTATCCCGATTTGGCACTGCCTGACAAAAAGGAATAAGCTACTTATATTTTAATAGTTTCCATGGTCTTTGATCATTGTGCATGAGTGAGTGAGAGAGAGAGAGAGTTAGTGAAAGAAAGAGAGAGAGCGACAGAGAAATATCCAATTCATTTTTGTATAATTTTAATATAAATCTATTTAGTGGAACGAGAGTCAGTCATGTATGTACTGTCTGCACTATTAATATAAGTGAAATCTATCATTGCACTTCAATATACTATTTTGAAGTATACAGTACCAACCCTGGAAAATGGTTTTGTAACCAAACCAATCAATGCAAATCTCACAAGCTTTTACTTTTGTACTATTGTGGTGAGGCTCTACGTGACTCAGTGTGCAAAAATGACTACTTCTTTTTGTTTAATGTTATAAATGCACAATTCTTTGCTCTCCACATTTCTATTTTAAGTTTTCCTGTCTCCCCTCTCCCACTTCTTTAGCATTTCTCAGAAACTGTCAGGAATTATGTGAGCTAAATGTACTTAAATGCAAAGGCAAAGTTTGTCTTTAAACCCTTGTCAAAGAGAAAAATGTTCAATTACTGATGACTCAATCAGTGCGGTATTCAAACTGCTATGCACAAACCAGGCAGAATCTCATTTTGGGAGTAATGATTAAAGAAATATCTCAATCTGGGGGGGCTAAAAAGGATAACAGTTATCCCTAAAGGCATCTCAGTGAGGATAAAGTTGCATCGACATTAGCGGCCAAAGAACTCACAGCTCGTAACAAAAACTAAAATATAGGTTGTAGCTACGTAAAAAACTGTGTTTGAGCTTACTGTATTTAAGCTTCCAAGCCACAGTTTCATTTACAGTTCAGCTAAGTACCCAATGTTGTACCACTGCACTCACATGGTAGTATTGCAAATGTGTTTATAGCATCCCCTGCAGTGTAGAGAGGAGCTGTGTACTTTTAAAAACGTCCTAAATAAATAATATGGCCCATTACCTCTCGTAATGGAGAGCAAAAACAACTCAGTCATAAAGTCCTATTCCCTTTTGTCCAACGGGTCCTCACTTTAATGTCCTAAATGTCACGCAAAATAACACATAATACTACTACTAAACGTTACATTAATTTCACAGAATCAATACAAATTTAACTGATTATTCTTGCCTCAACATTTTTCTGTAGTTTGTTGACAGCAAAGTGACCTGTGAGGTGATGACACTGCCAAATGCAAATGGGAAAATGTCTGCATCCAGAGCTCAGCAGCTCCTGAAGCAGCTGAGATCAAAATAGAAATAGAAGCCTTTCATGCATGCGTGAACTGGCCTTTTGTGTCAAGCGAGTATCACGACGTAAAATGAGAATAAATGGTGTATTCTAAGATGTCAACTCTTCTACAGTTCCTGTGTGACAAGGTCTCTTTTACTATGAGTTGTTATGTATTAGCATTTTAATAGGCAGTAAAAATAAATAGTCAAACGTGAGTGTGGCGCGCAAACATTTATAAATACCAGTGACTTGATGCGCTTTTAAAATAAATATAATTCACGAGACGGCAAACAAAATGCCAATAAAAACAATGTAAATCATATTAACAATAATGGCAGTAACACAAGGTGATAACAGCAACACTCAGCCTCCTTCAAATTTCAAGAAATATTTCGTCAAATCTACACTGTTTTATCAACATTCCATTTAGCAACAACAGTTATTTCATGACAAGTTCATATGGAATCGGGTCTGCATCACAGAACGCAAAGATCTGATGTGGTTTTTTTCTCTTACATTGCCTTAGCAGCAGAGCATATCAAACCATGTTGATGCTCAGCCCCAATTGGCTTCAGTGAGGCAGTGAGTGATAACATTTCTCATTGTGGGTGCCCGATAGTGTTTTAATAAAAGCAGCATAAATTGAAGACGGCTGAAGACAGCCTCACAGTAAATAAATGAGCAGGATGTTGTGGAAACTGGGCGTCTGCAGACTGATTGGACAGATTGTACAGGAAGTGGAATATTAAAAAAAAAGCAAAAAAAAAAAAGCCACTAAATACGTTTGGAAAATTGACAGACTCATTTTCTTTCACTGTAATGTAAGTGAAGTCCAGATGAAAGAAAAATGCAGTCTCTTGTTTTTTTCGACTATAGGCCTAAATACATTCTGTAATTAGATGCATGTACTACTTTTGTATAATCATACTTTATGTCCTTTTAGTTGGAAAAAAAAAATCAGCTTTTGATGGATTTTTTAGTAATTACAATATGTGTGGACATATGTATATATATGTACATGTATATACTGTATATACTGTATATACATATACATATAGTATACAGTATACATATAAATGTATATACTGTATATACATATACATATATATACACATATACATATATATACGTATATATATGTATATACGTATATATGTGTATACGTATATACGTATATATATACACGTGTATATATACGTATGTGTGTATGTTTATTTAGGCCAACGTCCAGGCCAAATCCTTACATGTGATACTAAATTGAATATTAAGGCAGCAAAACCTCCCCTGCTCTTTTGTCATGTCCCTAAAAGCTTTTCCTTTCACAGGCACCTGACTGAGGTGTGGGCAGCATGAGTCAGTGAAAAGAAAACAGACAGTCTCTGTCAAAGAAGATTGTAACCTGCTGATGACGCAGTGACTGAAGTGAAAAGAAAAAAACATATACATTCAGTGAATAACAAAGGAGCCCCACTATAAAGAGAAGGTGGCAGAGTTGGAGAGATTCTACCGTAACACAACTTTTACATTTACCCCAAACAGGTAAATAGGTTATATTAGGTCCTTGACATTCCCATGTCTTTAATAATACAGATAAATTATCATTTGACTTTAAGTATTTTATAGTATATTTTTATTCAGTTCCATAACTTTGTGGTTGGATTCAAACCCTTAAATAAAGCCAAGAACAGGGCATTTGTGATTTGCAGAGCCAGTAAAAACAAAACCTAAGGTTGTTGTGCAGTCCTTATTCTCTCTCTCTCGCCATCCTGTTCTTTCATTCTCCTCTGCTGTGTTAAAGTGTAAGTGTTTTATGAGCAGTGGGGCCTGAAAACCTCTGTGGTACAGAAAGGCTACAGCCAGACATAGAAGGTTTTAACTGGATAATAATTGGAATATTTGCAGAGGTCAAATCCCTGCTGACGGTCTTCTGTTACTTCAACCTGCGGTGCCATAAATGAAACTAAATGTAGTGCTGATGTGAGCGTGCTAGCGCTCACATAAACAGCACCTCTGCACACAGCTCACTTATAGGTCACCCCTTCAAGTATTTCATGTAAATAGCGAGACTAAAAGTCAGATACGTATTTGGAATTCGAAGGTCTGACTTAGCTCAGGCTTTCACAGGAAATAAAATAAAAGCCTGTTATAAAGAATATAAATATGTGCAATATTAACTTTGTTGATAAAAAATAATACAATTATGTTCACTATGTTCAGCCCTATCAACTGAAATGTACAAAATCAAATTAATTTAAAACAGCTGCAGAAGTTGGTGCTAGTAACAGTTTTTTTTCATGTGAAACATAAAACCCAGGTTGAGTATGTAAAAAAAAAAATAATAGAAGGTCACATAAAAGAAACTACAACCAACAACTATTTTGTATTTTAGGAATGAAGAACAAAAGGGAAACAAATAGGATATAAAAAACAAGGACCAGATAAATGACAGGTGGAAACAAAAGCTACACCATGCAAAACAAACAAAGACAAAAAAAAAAAACAATATTAAAGAGCAAATAAAAACAGCTGTTTCAAGCCAATAAAAGAAATAATAGATTCAATACTGAATAAAACACAAAGGAGCTGAAATGAGGTGACAGGTAGAATAAAACCCTGAGATGCTGCAGTTACACTTCCATCAGAGGTTGTCTGGCATTGAGAAACCAAGGCTATATTACACAGAGGCAAAAGACTGTAGCTTTTGCAAAAGCACAAATCATTATTGGTAACTCTGTGCAATCCTGCTTTCATGCTCAAGTAAGCTCTTTGATAAGCCTCTATGAATGTGCCGCAGCCTTTTAGTGTGTTTTCAGCTCCTCCCAAATGACTGTCAGCGCTGATGAAAAGTAAGCCACATAAAGAGTATGATTCACACAGAGGAAAAAAAGAAATATACGCATTTGAAGAGTGCACACAAAGATCAAAACACACAGTAGGACAAAGTTTAGCCTGAGCGCTATACGGACATGAATGGAGCGTAAGGAAGTTGTGGACCCAGAGTTGTGGTTACATGCTGACTCGACAGTCACTCAACAGGAGCAGGTTTTCAGGTGATGATGATTAAAGCTCTAACAAATCGTCTAAATCATCTTATCTAAATGATCAAGATACAGGTGTTATATTTTCATTCCCGAAGGTTGTATTTACTAACTCATGATTAAAGAGCACTAAAATCATTGCAGGAAAAACAAAATTAAAAAGAAAACTGGTTAGATTAATTCTGATCAGCATTTAACAAAAACAGAATTTCTACTTTTAGAGTTTTATACAACTACAGCAGCCTCTATTTACGTGGATCTGGCACGAACAAAATCTGCGCAGAATGCGACTCCGGTTCCTGCAGTACATATACCAGGCCTGTGTTAATCATGCTCTCAGATAGCTCTGTTGTCTGATGTTCTATTCATGTTGTAATGAAGAGGTTAACCGTTTACGGGCAGGGGAAGGGGAGTAAGGAGGCGTAATGAGAGTAAGAGTAAGGGTGGGGAGAAAAAGAAAATGAGAGAGACGCTAGAGGAGCTGGATTTAAAACATTAGTGGTAATAGTTAAATAGTATCAGCACGGTCGGAAGGCGCATGGTTTCCAAAGTTGTTGTTATGGTGTAGCACTGAGCAGGGTTACTGGGTTAAAAGGTGACAGAGAGACGGGGCTGACTGCATCGTCTCATTCTGCTCCGTTTACACTGAAACGAAGCGCCTGTTTTTTCAAACCTTTACACTCTGGGACTAGTACATGGTGACAAAGCAGTTCATCGCCAAAAGACGCCATCTTTGTTGAAACGCAAGGACAATATCAGGGATCCGGAGCTGTATCGTCGCTGTGTAAACAGGGCCTTTTTAAAAAAAGTTCCTAGATTATTTACTTAATGACATGGTTGCAGGTAAAACCATCTGTGATCTATTCACTTTTGAGACTTTGAAGAACTAGGTGTCTATGTGGTTTGAAACTGTAATGTTGAATCAAAAATGACTTGCACAGACTAGTGCTTTGCAGTTAAGTGTTCATCTAGCAAATTAATGACTGGATCAATGTTAAAATTTTAATTATCCTTAACACAGTGCACACTTTAACCCTGCTGGTGACTAAATATCTTTTTCTTCCACTGTGTTCAGGGTGAATGATTTTCAGTGTCTGAACCACAAAGACCAGAAGGTCACTTTGCATGAGCTCCTGTAAAATGATTTCATTAGATAAGTGACCTAAACTTTATCGGCTTCAATCGACACATCGCTAAACGTGATTAAGTTTGTGATATAGGCGGTTGATACTGTCAAGGAAAAACCAAGGGGTTCATTATTATTAATATTTTTTCATGAGGTTCACCTTTCCAATCATCCACCACTGCCTGTGACCCAACCATTACCGTTGTTTATGTCAGGCGATAACACTTAATGGCCGCCATCAAACAGGAGGCCAAAGCAGTCTTTCTCTAAAATATTATTCAGTTGATACTTTAAGCAAGTCCTGTGTTACCTAAAGAAAAGGTTGAAGAGAAGTTTCAGCACATAAGACTTTTCAAATGCAATACTTAGGAAAGCAAACAGTTGAAATGTAACTGTGTCTTGTAACATCTTTTGTTTGCTCAAAGAGCAGTCACCTATTGATTACTATTTTATTATTGGTGAGACTCACCAGCAGAACCCAGCTGGTAATTATTGCCACGGGTGTTGATTTGACAGGCTCCAAATACAACTCCCCGAACATCGGGAAATGTAGAAACTGAAGTTGACAACAGCAGGAAATGAAAATAACAGGAAAAATCACGCTGTGCCATGGGTGAGAGAGTAGGAGGTAGAAGCAGTGTGAAAATTATCAAGTAGCAGTGTGCATAGTGATCTCGTCATGCTTCGATCTTAGAAAAGACTTCCTTAAAGGATGGGGAGAGATGCAGGGGGCAGGCAATTCACAATCAGGTCAGTCTTTTGTGTAATATGTGACTCGATGGGTTGAGGATGTGACCTTTCAAGAGTATTGTATTATTTATTAGTAGTTATTTGATATGTGACTCGATGGGTTGAGGATGTGGCCTTTCAAGAATATTTTTCTTTCTATTTAGAGCATTGTTTGTTATTTACTTATTCTACTGAGCTAATTGTGCAAGAAAAGTTTGATGAGTGCAAACATGTTGTAAAATGTTTATTGATAACAGCTAATGGTTTAATTGTACAACAAACTGCTCATTCACAGAGAGACACACAGCGCATCGAGTCTTTGAGGGTTTTAGCAGATAGTATATAAAGCGTGTTGATATAACTGATAATAATAACTCTTACCTCTGCTGGCTCTCTCCACATGCCCAAAGTCATCAGCAAATTTGATGACATCTGGAAACTCCACCTCACACACTTGTGCCAGAAAGTGCAGTAACGTGGTCTTCTGGTCTGCTGACTTTGTGTCCTTGAGCTGTATAAAAAATACACAAAAAAAAAAATCATTGGGGCATGGACAACAAGAGCAACATTCTATGACAGTGAAACGTTTAGCTCAGTTTTAAGGTGAGTTTAAGGTGCTACAATCAAGTCATCATAGATGATTTTTTTTTTTTTTTTCGAAAAAAGATTCCTTTTAAGGTGCTACAATCATATCATCATATGGTGTCCAAACCTGTAGTGTCAAGCACTCTGATTGGTTGTTAGAAGTGCTGTATAACACACCATTCACCATGTCTATGAAGATTCTCACATAAGTGATTTTATTCTACAGTTTAGAAGTAGGTCTCTGGTTCAGTTACCTAAGCTGATTTTTTTTTTTATCTGATGATCTCATATACTCATTAATTTTGAAGCAACCATTTCCACCGGTTCCCAGTCTAATTTTAAGACATCTGTCAGTATCCCCTCCTGTGGAGAGCACTGCTCTCTATCTCTGTAGGTGATCTATTGGTAGACAGCAGTGTTCCTCAGTCCTGCTGGGTTTAATCATGTTTGCATTATTTTCTCTAATCAAACATAGCCATGTCATATTTCTATTCTGTTTTCCTCTTCCATCAAAGCTCAAAGTGTTCGCACAGAAAAGGTCCCCCCCTTGAATTTAGATGGATGGTAATCACAGCTGACAATGTAAACATTTTGCTTTTTTCCAACTGGGTTGGGGTGCAATTTTCCTGTGCTGTGGAGTGTGCCATGGAATTAAGCTGTCAAACTCCAGAGGAGACTTGAAGGCTGATGTCTTCCTCTATACTTCACATCCTGCCTCTGACATGGACTCGCAAGTTGTTTTTTCACTGTATACAATTACGCTGATAAAGAAGGACACACTGCAGTCCGACCGCTACAGCAGCCGGACCAATGTGCCAAAACAACGGTTATTTCTTTCAGTAGATGTTCAAACAACAAAAACATTAATTGTTTGAGAGTAATGTTATTTTGAAGAGCATTCATGTTTACGTATTTATGTGTGAAAAGGCAATTTGTCCACGTTCTTACAACGCTTTTTAAATGAACGTTAGCACGTAAGTCCAACAGGGCGTTGAGCTGGCAGTGATGAATGTCCTCAGCTGTTGTTACTGTGGAAACAGCAGAGAATGTGATGGAACCACTGGATGAGTCTTCTTCCTACACTCTCTCTGTCAGCACTGCTATCAGACAAAGTCAAAAGGCTGGATAAAATCCAGGGCTATAGGTGTTGGTTATGTAAAACCTGGAGGAATCCAGGTGGGTGAGAACCCCAGTAATTTATTTGGGGACAATGGCAATAAAAAAAAAAAAAAAAAACTTTAGATTTGGCTCTGAATAACATCTAAAAATTATGGGAATTGCTCAACCAATAATCTACACCTAAAACCAATACGTATTTTGTCTGTGAGTGTACATGGAGGAAACTCACAAAAACTTTGGAAGAACATATACCTTCATTCATTGCCGGGGCTTAAAATGGTTATCTGTTTGCACACACAGCTGAGTGTAAAAAATGTGATTAAAAAAATACTCTACTTCTTTTTACCCCAACCCTCATCTCATACCGGACTGCACTCCATTGATAATGAAATTCTTAATGCCGTTTCCTAACAGTTCATATTAAAGCTAACATGTCAGACTCAAACCTTGCAAAGGGAGCTGAGGTCGAAGCCAAAAGATTGAGCATTTCTGGAGCCTGCATTCATGTAATTCCCTAGAAGCAGCACCAGCTCCAGCAGGCGCCCGAAGGAGTGGCTGTTCCTGACTTCATCACAGGCGGCGTTCACAGCGAGGATGTCTGGACGAATGTTGTTTATCTGCTCCTCAAACTGTAATCTAAAGAGAATATGGCCAAGGCGAGGATGTAGCCTTTTCACACTGCTCATCTAGAATTAGGCCAGATGAACGAAAAGGGACAAAATGAGACAGAAAGGGGGAAAGAACAGTATTAAAAGCAGAATACTAGGAGGACTGAGGAAGCAAAATCAAACAGTTTTGTCAAACTTAAATAAAATGCAGCTGTACATTTGCAAACTCATTCAGCCAATTTCATTTAAAAAATAAATTTATGCATCCAGTGTACTGAAAGGGGTTGCTAGGAAGGAGTAATAGATGCTGGCAGTGATTCGATTTGGGACCCAGGTCTGGTAAGGTAATTGTAGTGTCGGTGTCCATATAGGACCACGCAGCAGAGGGGGTGGAATATACAATAGGCTGCCTTGAATTACCACTCTCACATAATTAGAGAAAATTGAAAAATATTGCAGTGGGCCCTGGGCCTGGCCACAACAGTGAATGTGTATGGGTGGGCTGGAGTAGAGGGTGTGGGTAAGAACAATTTGTTTCACACAACAGATGCTAGGGTACTTTAATATCCTCTATCAAGGCTTTACTTACAGCTATCGTACTGTTATTGACATGTTTCAGTGAGTGAGTGAGTGTGCCGGTAATGGCTGTGTGCAAATATAAGAAGAATCTGGAAAGGAAGGGTGTGCATTTAGATAAAAATATGGCAGTTTTTTTTTTAATGCACACAATCCTATATGCATACGCACACACATACATATGCATATGTACGTATATAGCAGCAGGAGAGAACGTGTTCCTCATTTGTTAATGAATTATACCACAGGGTAGTCGAATCGTGTTCATACTGCATTTCCATTCCCAGATTATTGATCTTTCTATAGTACCTCACAATCTATTTGACAACCGTGTCGGTCAGCTTGTCAACCTTCAACTTACTTACTGGCCTGCACTCTGTGAGGCTGCTCTGACACAAGCCAGCGTCTGACCTGAAGTTGAAGCCTCAAATAAAACATGCTGGTAGTGGATATAGTATTTTAAGCTCCATGTTTCTGTACATAATACGCATACATATACATGCATACATACATATATATACGCATACATACATACACACATACATGCATACATACATATATATACACATACATACATATATATACATACATATAAATATATATGTATGTATATATACAGTATATGTATGTATATACATACATATATAAATTATATTAAATCTGCATATTGTTTACAACAAAGATGGCAGTGTTTGTGTGTGCACGTGTGTATGCGGTGGAGAGAGAGAGAGAGAGAAAGAGAGAGACACTATATTTACTCACCACAACTCCAAACTGCTCAGGCTCTGAGAGATTTGCATAGTCGTTCTTATACTTGGCCAAGGCATTGAGCTGCTGCTGCTCAGGTAGATGTTTTACAAGACTCTACAAAGAACCAGCAGTAGAACATGTGTAAGAAAACATGGTAGAAATTTAAAAAGAGCTTGGTGCAGTACTAAGAATTAACTAGTGTTGTCACTTGAGATGTTAATTCTGGCTGTTACCATATATTCATGGTCAAGGAAGAATCCATTTTCATTTTATTCTAATCTATTATTCCCATTGTTTCGGTTTGCAAAACATCTAGTTCAATCAAATGCTAACTCCTAGCCCCCTTGCAAAGTCTTCTTCTTCTTAGAGGGCCACAACACCTAGAAAGTTCAATATAAAGCAATATCTGTTAGGAGATCGGATGATAACATTTTTTTTCTGTCCAATCAGGAGGAAGTCGAGAGGATCTGTCATAAATAATGATACAAAACTGTCCAAAACCAGGTCTGAAAAGAATTTGCAGAGTAACCCATGAAAGATCCAAAGCTGTAATTGCTCCCATAGGGATTCAGATGAGACGACTGCGGAAAATCCAAAATTAAGGATGTGAATCCCTAAGTACTGTGTCTAAAGTTTGTACTTCAACTTTGAAACAGAGAGGAGACCTTGAGGAAATCTATGGACGTTCCTTAATTTCAATAATTAAACGGTATGATATACAAAGTAAACTACAGTTTAGATTTATTCAGACAATGTTACAACGCACAAACACCTGCAGAAACAAATGTGACACCTTGAGACAGTCAATGTCATTTCGACCGAGAAACAAAACAATGCAAGGGTAAATTGGACACGAGGAGCCAAAATACAACTTATTACAGATTATTTCATTAACAATACATACCTGAATCATAGAGTCGGTGAGGTGTTCCTCATCTACCTCCACAATTACACGGCGGATTTCCTCATAAGGCATTCGGTAAGAACCCAGAAAGATGGCTGCACAAGAACAAACCAAACAGACAAATATGTGGTCAGTATTTCATAATCCATGCTCCACAATGCCCATACACATATTAAATCTGTGCATTATACAGAACAGTTCATTCAATGAAAACAGTGCAGGAAGATTGGTCTGGGATTAAAAAAAAAAAGCAAGAGAAAATTAACGTCAAATTGTATTCTCTTTACAAAATCAGAAAATATACATCCAAAATGTATTAATGCCTTAATCATCACTGTCAGGTCAGTTTGAAAATGAGTGTGATTATGTTTTATTTTAAATGAAGTGAAAATGATAAATGTATAATGACAAGGCTTGACTGACAGCTGGATTATCCACCGAATAGCTAGCGAATGTGTCACAAATGTCAACGAAAGTAAATCCTCTTCATGAAAATGACAAGTACAAATCTGGATTTTTACATGGGATCTCAAGGACATACTAAATTAATTTAAGCACCTATATGAAGATGAGGTGTCTGCAGGGTGAACGAACGCAAAACAATTTTATTCTCTATTGTGTCACAAAAAATAATGCATTTTCCTGCACTTTTTTTTTCCACTCTGTGACTTGTCACTGTTGCTGGGCTGATTAGTCTCTCAGACTATACATACTGTACATGAGACAAATGTCAGAGTCCCTGTCATAGAAGCAACAGCAGCTGTGATAGAATGAGGTTTCTTTGTAGGGAGATTGAACAGATTTCTAAAGATCAGGGGTTTAAATGACCAGAGTAATTAATACACTACTGAGGGTCACTGATTCACCAAAATAAATTAGGAAGGAAATTTAGTGGACCTAGTATTTAACTGTGATGACAACCATAATAAAAAAAAAATAATAACAATATGCACTGCAGGGCAACTCAATATAATGAACGGAACTGTCCTTGGTAGGGATGAGAATCCCGAGCTACCTCCAAAGTCAATTAAGAGGCCAATGAATATGATTATGAAATTATTATAAAACAATTATGTTTTTGATAAAACTACTGTGCCAATACATAAATCAATACGAATGTGGCATTGCATTACATTACGTAATAAGCTAATTATTTGTAGGATTGACTCATATCTAGGTCCCAACTACGCCACTGTTATACTTCTGAAAGACAAAGGCTCCTGCCCTGTTATAATCATTCAAATTTTGATTTTTTTTACCCATGTAATGAAATTAAAAATATTATTTTTATTTTGCAATAGTTGCTTACTCGTAACTTGGAAAACTCATATTTCGGGGAGCTCGTATCTAGGCGTTCCACTGTATAATTGTTTGGGTTTGTGTGCCCATGTGACAGAGGATAAACATTTAGAGACCTCATGTATTCCTAGAAATGAAATCATTTAATAGGTACAAAATGGTTGGATCCCGACTGTGTGTAAGTACGTAGAAGTGTTAGAGATGAAGAAAAACAACTTGGTGTGATTACATTTAGAAGCATTTTCCTTCCCTTTACCTTCTTAATGGCTGCTAAATGTTAATAATTAGCTCAGACAGCATGTGTGAAGCATGAGTCACGGGGAGCAGAAATGAAATGCAGAGAAATTGTCTTTCTTTGGCACCAAGAAAAGCTGTCACTTTAACATAACACAACATGAATCCATGGATCTTTCGTTCTCTTTCTTTCACACTTCTCTGACAATTCTAAAATCATCATCTCTCTCCACAGAAATCCCAAACCGACGCTCCTCTTTTCCCTATTGCGTCGTCAAACCACTCGACCCTAACAGTCTAATATGTGTACATAACAAAGTAATACATGCTTTAATGAAAAAGTTGGTAAAATGTATAGTGGAATAAAGATGAGGTTGATTCCCATTTCTATAATATTTTCTTTCCCTCTCGCAAAAAGAACACAAAAGGGAAAACAAATACTTACACAGGTTCTGTGCCATCTTCGGATCAAGCACCTTGAGCTCCTTAATTCTCTTTTTTATGGCTTTCTTATCCTCCAGATCCTCCTCTTGTTTCTTGGCTGATTAGGAACAGAGACAAAGCATAATTTTTTCAACATACCAAAACAAAGTTTTATAAACAAAAGTTTAAAGGTGAAAAGAGGCTAAAGTCAAATAAAAAAAGGAAAAAAAAATTCAATTAATGTATTAAATAAAATAACAGTTATAATTATCTTTAAAAACATCAGAAGTGTCAAAAGATGTCAAAACCCGAGGACCTCGTGTATTTAATTAAATACTTCAATAGGATAAATAATAAGAATAGGTTAATTCACTGTCAGTGCTCCATTTCTTGTTTTTCTTGTTCTTGACTTTGAGGACTGTTTGGGTTTAACACAGAAGCGCCGCCAATTTATATTCTTCATTTGTCAGCACTAAAGCTAAACTTTTATGCCTTTCTCAAACTTGAATGTTATGTGATTTAAATGTTGTAATCCCGCGCTTGCACACACACACAAACACACACACAACACTGACTTAAGTGCTATCAGTTAAATCAGATAATGAGATGCCCCCTTCTCGCCCCCGTTTTTTTTTCCCCCTCACTACACTTCACACATCCATCCTTAAGAGAAATCAGCTCATTATGAATCATCTGATTAAAATGTTGCTCACAGGGTCTAAGGTCACTGGTTAATCAATCGTGTGCAGTGGTAAATCTTGCGCTTATCAGATGCCACTATCACCTGTGGAGATTGAGGAGACATTGCACAGAACCACGGGGAGTCTGCTCACGATCGCATAAACAGCACAGGATTGAAGCAGCCGTTGCTGCCTTCAGATGGATTTTCTGGTACCAGCCGAATGAATTGCCACTTAAACCAACTCCCGGTAATGTCTTGACTTGCTTATAGGAGAAGTACGTAAGACGATTTTAACCATCTGTTTAAAACACCCAACGTGTGTATCGTCTTTCTTCCCCCATGGGGGCTGCAATGGCCGTCCTTAGTTAATGAGTTCAATTACAACAATCATACAGAGAAAACTGATTCGACACTGCTTATAAGAAACACACTTTGGGGAAGACCTGTCTTGGGGTTTATTTCAGCAGGGCTACCAGAGGAGGAGGCGTGGCGCCCCTCCACTATTTGAGTCTGTACAGCTGCACATCACCAGGTGGGCTGTCAACAAACTTTAATTATATCAATTTTATGCATAAAGCACAAACATTTTAACTTTCAACGTTTACACCCCAAATGATCTCTAAAATTGCGATCTTTAAAGCTTTACTCAGGGATTTAGAACACACAATGTATAATCTCCTCAAAGGCTAAGCTGGTCTAATCCTGCTCCACCTTCACTACTCCATATTTGCATATAGCATACATTAAGAATACAGTCAGATTATGCCTCACTGTTGGAAGACCTCTTCTCAGATGAAACCCATCAGTTCACTCAATGCCAAAAGGCTCATGGGGGAAAAAAAAAAAAAAAAAAAACTTTAAACAAAGGACCTGATTCAGAAGTTGGTGTCACTGATTTTCAAAATGGAAGACAACACATACTCTGGAATGACACATTTAAAGTAGGGATGGCTAAAATCAAATTTCTCACGTGCGATACTACTTTAACTTTAGGTATCGGCCGATCCTGATATCTTTCCGATACCTACTTTTCCCATACAGCACGCCACAGGTGTGATCGAGTCATCCATACCTTAAAGGCAGCAGTGGATTAACAGCTCAGAAAGATAGGATTTGAAAATTGATTATTTTCTTTATAGATTTAACTGCTACGAGTGAGTGATATCCACATTTTAAATTCATAGCTCGTCAGCTGCTGAAGACAGCTGGAAGCATTAACTATATTCTTAAGATGTCATAGGTTTTCACTGGCATATATACTGAATAAAGTGAACATTTGGTCAAATGCCAAAAAAAACTTCCTTTTCTCTGTTCTTGTCTCATCACCAGTTTGACTGAGGCACAATGCTAATAACAAATGATCACATTTAAAGAAAACATTAAGTTATTATTGCCCTAACTGCTTTTGTTCTAATTCTGCTACAGCAACAGCCACTTATAAAAAAAAGGTGTAAAACTGTACACTGCTTGTACACATAATACCCAAAGAGTGTACAGTGGTTCCCACCAGGCAGTATGAGTGAATTCTGACATCAAAGTACTGAAGGGAATAGTGGTGCAGATGAGCATGAGTGATGCTTTGCATGACAGGAAGACCTCAGAGAGAAGCCATATTGACACACAGCAGCAGACAAGTGCACACATATTCCTGCAGACCAATTCATCATGATGCAGTTGTTAAGAGAAAAAAAAGATCAATTTCACTTACATGCAAAAAAAACCACATCATTTAGACAGTAAATAAACAAAATGTTTAACATGTTATTAAGCAAAAAAAGTAAAAAAAAAACAAGGTTCAAAGAGCCGAATCATAGCGGGTGTGTCATCGCTCATCATTTTGTCAAATAAAAATGTTGTCAGTGTTGTATTCCTCGAAGGGATGTGACACAATTTTTTTTGACACGGCTTCATATTTTTTTGTGGCCCGTTACAGTGATGCGATCGTCCCCCGCTGAGAAATCTGATACGCGAACACACAGTGAGGGGGGGGGGGGAGTTGAAAGGGCAACGTGATACGCGAACACACAGTGAGGGGGGGAAAGTTGAAAGGGCAGCAGTCTTCAAAGGGTAATTACATCAACGTGTTGTTTCCAGCGGCCAATCAGAGCAGTCGTGCAGGTAAAATTTAAATCACGGCCATTAATGGAGTTTTTGTAACAGGGATCAATTTAGGTCGCATGCAATTCAGTAAGCAAACACCATGCCCATACATTTATATCACACGCACACCAGCGCAATTTGCCTGAAGCAAAATCCTCTACGAGACATCTGATACACAAGAGGGGGCCTGTCTGGAGCGAGTGGAAATATTTCAGCAATTCGACACATCTGTCAAGTCTAAAGTGAAAAGTGGGGATGTGAACAGTCAAACCAGCCGTGTGGTTTGACTGTTGACTCGCTGCATGGTTCTGATCCGGCTAAGTCCTGAGCTTGAATCAGCCTGACAGAAACCACAAGAGACATCAGTACATTTCCAGTTGCTACATGGAATATCCACCGCCGCCTCCACTGTGCTCTCTGCTCAATCAATGCACATACACACACAATTGTGCTCTGCTGACATGCCGGCTCTACTGGTTTGTTTGGCACTTTCTGTTCCCCTGATCAAGAATTGTGGATGTGTGAGTTCCAATCAGAAAGGGGAGAAAGAGAAGGAGAGGAGGAGAGAGAGAGATTAAGAGAGAGAGGGGGTCGGGGGTGAGTAAGGGAGGTGTGGTGATCAGAGTAATGAAGTGAGGTGCTGTTTTGAGAGTGAGCTAATCAAAGTGAACCATGCAGGGCCACCTCTCCCTCTGATCCAGACTCGATGACCCAAAGCCATAATTAGTCTAAGACTTCCATTTGGATAGCAGCAAATTAATAGACTTCATTAGGTTTTTCTCTGCTGTGTCCCTGCTACCAATGATTATTTTAAAATACAAACCCCGCAAAATTGTTCCTGACTGGCCATTAGCTCACTTTTCTTTCTCTTCCTCTGTGGCATATGCAAAGTAAACACATATTTAAAGCATGGATTTGAGAATTTATGGTGAAATGTAATGTTGTTATGTAGATCCATGTGTTAATCAGTGTGTAATGGCTGGTCGGGTTGATGTGTTCTAATACCTTAATTCTCAATAGAGTACTGCCCTCTAGAGGCTCACCAAAGTCCTTTAAGGATGCATGCCTTGTACGTGCTTTTTTGAGAACACCAAAGTCCTTTAAGGATGCATGCCTTATACGTGCTTTTTTGAGAATGTGCATTTTCTTTTCACTCTGTCATCAGACTGATAACACTGTGCATTTTCATTTCTGTCACTGCTTGAGGAAATCTGTTTAATCAGAAAAATGGTTGAGCCTACACAAACATTTCTTCAGTCATTCGATGGAATGATGACATCGTACACATTTATTTCTTGAAGTCATCTGCAATTCTTCCCATTGTTTTCCCTTCCTGTGCTGCTGATGCAGATGCGCGCAGACTCTCACTTTTTTTTACCATTTCCCTTGCCCTACATATGCAAAGTTAGATGCGTGGATGAAAAATCACTGCAGAAGAATAAAGTTGTGAGTGCAAATATGTTTTTAACGCGCAAGCCCATTACTACTCTGATATGAGAACATAAAAACACAAATTGGGAATAAATTGAGGTGCTGATCCTTGAGAAAACCCAGCCAGAAAGAAGTGGGAAAAGAAAAGAGACGGGAAAAAACAATGGCAGGAAGAAGTTAACGATGCGCGAAAAAAACCACGGACCACAACAAAATCGTTTGGAGCACGTGCTCTGAACATGTGATTTTAACATGTAAAAGCCTGAAAGATCATCGGTAGGTCCGGATGGTGTTGCCCCGCTTTGAAATCTTTTTGCATTTTATATATAAAGAAAGAGAGAGTGAGAGCTTCCCTTTTATTGTGAAGAACACTCTATGAGAAGAGCCTTTAATGATCATGCATTTGATGAGATGTTCCACATTGGAACAAAATTTCTGCAGCCAGATGAAAAGTCATTATAGAGCTAATGGTGTTCTCCGAAATGTCACAGCAAATGCGTAAGGAGAGGGTGGGTGGGCAGAGGTACAAAACAAGCTGGGACTGTGTGTGTCTCAGAGAGAGAGAGAGAGAAAGAGAGTACACACGAAAAAGGAGAGGAGGTCCATTGTTTGTGAAGTGATGTATCTCAGCTGCAACTAGTAGATAGTGTGGGAAGAAAAATGAAAAACAAAAAGAGGAAAACAAAGAGTAAGTAATAATATTTTTTCAGCACTAGCATTTTTTTATCCTTACCAAAACTCAAATTCATAAATTACACACCTGGAGAACATCATTTAAGAATCATTTAAAATACCTATTGTTTTACTGGTCTCCAATTTGTCTGTTGTAAAATTTTGAAAAAGGGTGCAATATAAGGGTAAAGCAAATGTACACAGCACTAAACCTGGCACTGTATGTTATAGTGTAGATTGACTGCACTCTATTTGGTTTCTTCATCCCCACATCCATAAGCCATCATCATCATCATTTTTCTACAATTCCTCTTATACATCTGAAACTAACCATTCATTGCCTCTTCCCTGTTATTGTAATATTAAAACCTGATTTTTTTTTTTTTTTTGGAGAACATTGACAGTGACAAAAAAGTACTCCTGTTGAAAAGAGATGCAGCCCACCCTGCATATAAAAGGCTGATTAACTATTACAGCACGCTAATAATAAGTGGGCTCCGCTTTAAAAGCATGAGTTTTAAAGGTCATTATTGTTTCATATGTCAACAGCTTTTGTTTGGCAGGGTTTTTACCTGGGAACAGAGAAGTCCTTCTTTTTTTATCATCTGGACACATAAAACACTGCATGACCTGCGCGGGCTTAACCCCTCCCACACATAACCACCATTTCTATCAAGTGCCACACTCCTCGCCCTCGCCTGTGCAGGCGAACAAAAACCCACACAGAATCACATCCTTTCTTCCCAGGCCATTTCATAACAGAGAAATAGGTCGTCTCATTATCTCCATCAGAGGAGGGGGACAGATTGTCTCCATCCATATTTCTCTGGGTAAGAGGCTGCATTGATCTAAAAAAGCCACATGTGCACTTAAAACACCGTGTTAGCACTGTGGTATGACTCCTTTAAAGGGGATATACAGCACATGGCAGATTGTCAGAGTTTTGGTACACACATATTTGGTTCTCTGCAGTATCCCCCTACTGCTTAAGTGCCAGTTTCAGCAAGTGAGTAAATGTTTAATAATGTGCCAAAACCTAAAATTTTCTCAGAATGAGCTGTTCTGATTTCCCCTACTACAATTTTGGTGTAATCGCATAATAACTGTGTTCCCATAGCTTCTTTAAAATAATGACACTCCCCACTGATAAAAATCTGTAAATAACAAGATCTGAACATTAAGGTCACCGCACAGTCGCTTTAAAACACAAAGCAGTGATAAAACAGCAAAAAAAAAAAAAAAACCAAAAAAACAAATGGAAACATCACACCACAGACTACGTCACATCAAAAAAAATGTCAAATCAAAAAACAAACCATGCTCTGATCATTAAAAGAAAAAAGTGCAATTTTTGGTTGAATGAATAAGAAATAAAGCTTTGAACTACAGTAGAAAGTGCTGCACAGTCTCATATCAACATCTAATATTCCAGTTGAAGTTCAGAGCCTGCGGGATTAAAGGTCCCCCGCATTTGAAAAATTGCAGTGAGCAGAAGTGATCACACTGCAGAAGGGAAAAAAATAAAGTCAGACATGAGGTAAATCAATGTGCTCTGTGGTCAGGATCTACACTGAGGTCCTGGTCAAAGTTGGTGTTGAAACTTAGGCTCATTTTTCTATAAAAACCCTATATTTTTAAAGACCTGCACATTTCCCAGCCAACTTGAAGCATTTGAAACCATTTAATTGATGAAATTAAAAGCATATATTCAAATGCAGTTTTGAGCTACATTTTAAAGTGGAGCAGGGTTGCAATCTTTGGCCTGTATACACCTTCTGCAGTTTAATTCTGTTGAGAAAAGCTTCTCTAAATCTGCTTTAAATACTGCAAAGCGGAAATGGCCTGTAAAAAAAAAAGACTATATATCTGCAAACGGACCCAGCCCATTAAGGCTGATTCTTTCACAAAGCAGACAAAACCATTTCTGAATTAACAGTGAGCACAAGTGAATGCAATGCTGCAAGCAATGAGGAAAAGTTCAGTGCAATAATAAAAAACAACCTTACCTTTCATTTCTGTTCCGGCATAAAACAAAATGCCACGCCACGCAGCCAAGCAGAAGTTGCAGTAAAAAGAAAAAATAAAAAAGCAAGAAGATAAAGGAGGGAGAGAAAAAAATAAATAAAACCAAAGAGAAAGACAAAAAAATATATATATATATTGTTAGTGTTGTTTGAAAAAGCATCGCTGCAGATAATTTATTTTCAGCACAGACACAAAATGAAGCACCGCAATGACAATAGGCCATGCAAAAGCATTAGAAAGACGGCTGATGGAGCACACTGTTGTTATGATGTCTGACAATGTATTGGGACTTTAAATCTCAGACTAACGCACTTGTCATATGCAGAACATTCTCAGTGCAGTGTGAGGTTGAAGTCATGGATTCCATAACTGTCAACAGTGGGGAAAAACTTTTTGTTGCCCCAAAATTGTAATAAGACAAATGTCATAGAGAAAGAACAGGCTTGAATTCCAAATGGAAACTGCAGCTGTCGGAATCCTGAACTCCCTCACAACTAAAGGTTAAAATCAAAATTTAAAAAATAAACACTTGTGTTTGAACCAACACAAGTCTTGGTTCAAATGACTCAAAAAAACTGCAGACTTTTTTTTTTTTTACTTTTACTGCTGCTGCTCCCTGTTGCTGTGATTGTGCACATCATTTACCTGATCAGCACCTGGACATTAAAAGAGAGCGAGATAACACTTGCGGTCTGTGGGCAGTAGTGGTAGTACTCTAATATCACACTCATTATGGCACCGAGAGTGGTTATTTCTCTCTTTTGTTACCTACCTTATTGCTATTGTGTAGTGAATTTCCCTAGTAATGGAGTGGTTTTTAGGTTTGGTTTTGTCATTTTTGTTGGAACTGCTCAAATTCTCTCCCCCACCTGTCTATCAACATTTTGAGGGTTTTTTTTTTTTTATTTTTTTATTTCATAATTAATAGCAAAACATAGTAGTCTGTACCCTGAGAAAGTTACCTTCACTTTCAATTATCCTCTGAACAAAGCTGGACGGCTTTTCAGACATAAACGAACACCTGGAAATGAGATTTCTAAAGAATTTGTCACATGCTTTTAAACATGACTTTGTTAACTTTTTTGACAACAATCTGAAGAGCACAAATTAGAATTTTTTAAATCAGAGGCA